ATTTATTTTTATTTTATTTTTAAAAAGGTACGGTTGTTTCGATCATTTCAACAGGTCAACGGAATTGTATTCGCTTGCCAATTACCTTAAAATCTCTCAATCTTGTGAGAAAGGGGTGCTCAATATATTAAACAATTTTTCGGTAAAACATGCAGAATATCTTTCGAGTAGTCTTGATAAAGAGGAAATGGAAGAATTGTTTCACGCAGAAATCAATGCTATGATTGTCTGTGATGCAGAAGAATATTATCGTTGTATGATGGGAGCTGGTGCTGAGGGCTGGAACAGGTTAATTGACACATGATCCGTATAATCGCGAAGACGAACGTTAATTTGAATGAGAATGATTCATTATTAGGCGTGATACCCATATGATGAATACTTTGCGGATCTTGGCAAAAAAATATGAAAGAACTCGGGGAAAAGAGGCCAAAATTATTGTCTGGGTGCGTCATATACTGTAATGGTGATTCATGAGAATATCAATTAATTAATGTGAATTAATAAATTTCTTTAAATCAGGCGCATAATAGGTTTAAAGAGTTGTAGGCTTGAATCTGAAGTGGTTACACGTATAGACTAATGGTTAAAAAAATTTTTTATTAGCCACATCGGTGATGCATCTCAGACAGATCAAGGATGGTGTCGCGAAGAAATTAATATTGGACAACTCGCTCGAGAGCAATTCGGCCATGATCGAGTCTATAATATTGGATTCACTACCCACAAGGGAACGGGTGGGACTTTGCTGACTTTTCTTATTATCTGTAATAAAATATTCGTTTATTTTAACGATATTACTTACTCCGCACGAAACAGTTACAGCGGCCTCTGACTGGGGCGCTCCAAGAGAGATTAAATCAGGTTCCACTATTTGCTTTAATCTAATGCTTCTCGCAGTACACTTATATCGCATGTTTAATTTATAGTAAACCCGTCTCGAAAGGATTCCATCGAATATGGCTTCCATAAAATTTCCGAACAAACCGGAGAACCAAACTTTCTCCTATTATTCACAAAAATTTCACCCTGCAGCAACAAAAAATCACCGATCTCTTCGGAATTGGTCGCAGACCTCGCACGCAATCCTATTCTACTTCAACGCGCAATTGGTGTAATCTATGCACCGCATACCGAGTTCGAGTCACATTACTTTAAAGCAAAAGTATCGAAACAATTTGATGCGGTGATCCATATAGATCAGACAAGTGCACTGGAATCGTTGGACGCCGTTGAACAGCCCGAGCCCGAGGAAATCATGAATGAGGTAAGGTTCAATGAACCATAAATGGTATCTTTAATTAGGAAGATATTAACATTATTATCAACGTCATTATTATTCTTATTTAGGTGCCCGAAACTTTTCCAACGGGAGAATAATAATCTACGTATTACGGTTGTCTTACTCTGCAATATCACGAGAATCCTCTTAAAATTATGCAAAATAAATGCTGTATCGCGTAAATCGCATGATATTTAACGGGCGTTTAGTAAATCACTCGCAATCAAAATTAAAAGATTGATTTATTGGTTTGTTTAAACAAAACAATTTGGTGC